CGGCTACAAAAGCTTTGCACAGCCCTAGTGAGCAGCCAACAGTAATGAAGGAACAGGCTAGGGACTGTTTAGAGAAGCTAGAGGTGTACAAGTCTGTGGGACCAGATGTGATGCACCTGACAGTACTAAAGGAGTTGGCTGATGTGATTGCAGAGCTGCTGGCCATTATTTTTGAAAACTCATGGCAGTCAGGAGAAGTCCTGGATTACTGTAAAAGGGCAAATATAGTGCCCATCTTTAAGACATTGAAGAAACAAGATTCAAGACTGGTCAGGCTCACCTTAGTCCCTGGAAATATCACAGAGCAGGTCCTCAAGGACTCTATTTCTAAGCACGTGGAGAAGAATGTGATTAGGAACAATCAACATGGATTCACCAAGGGCAAGTCGAGCCTAACCAACCTGATTGACTTCTATGATGAGATGACTGGTTCTATGGATGCAGGGAGAGCAGCAGATGTGATATGCCTTGACTTCAGTAAGGCTTTTGATATGGTCTCCCACAACGTTCTCACAGGCAAGCTAAGGAAGTACAGGTTGGATGAATAGTCTGTAAAGTGGATAGAAAACTGACTGGATCATAAGGCTCAAAGGGTAATAATCAATGGCTCTGTGCCTAGATGGCAACTGGTATCAAATGCAGTGCCCCAGGGTTTGGTCTTGGGGCCAGTTTTGTTCAATATTTTCATCAATGATATGGAATAGGGAATGGAGTGCACTCACAGTGAGTTTGCAGATGACACCAAACTTACCTTTTTTCTTTTTATGACCAGGTCATGAATGCTTAGATGCAGGTGTTGAGGTAGATGTCATCTGCTTCTATTTTAAGAAGGCCTTCGATACTGTATCTCATCCTATTCTCATAAACAAACTGAGTGACTGTGACATAGATGATTACGTGGCAAACTGGCTTAAGGGTCGCACTCAGAGACAGGTGCTGGATGGGTTGGTATCGACCTGGAAAGATGTGGGCAGTGGGGTCTCCCAAGGCTCAGTCCTTGGACCTGTGCTATTCAATGTCTTCATCAGCAACTTGGATGAGGGTGTGGAGAGTACTCTGTCCAACTTCGCAGATGACACGAAATTATGGGGTAAAGTCAACACACCTAGTGGGGAGGGATCAAATCCAGACAGACCTGGACAGGTTGGAAAAGTGGGCAGAAAAGAATAGGATGCAGTTCAACAAATTCAAGTGCAAAGTGCTGCATATAGGGAGCAGGAATCACCAACACACCTATAGGCTAGGGATGACCTTCTCAGCAGCACAGCAGTAGAAAGGGATCTCAGAGTCATAGTTGACTCCAAGATGAATATGAGCTGTCAGTGTGATGAGGTAACCAGTAAAGCTAACCACACTCTATCATGCATTACCACCTTGTCTCCTTTTATGACCAGGTCACAAAATATGTAGACATTGGAGTCAGGGAGATGTCATTTATTTGGATTTTAAGAAGGTCTTCCATATAGTATCTCATCCTAGTCTCATGAATAAACTAAGAGGCTGTGATGTAGATGATTACACAGTCAGAGATTGAGAGCCCTGGCTCTCTTCAGTCTCCTCAAGAGAAGGCTGAGAGGGGATCTTGTGGCTGTTTACAAATTCATTGGGTGGGTGGGGGGGAGGCAGCAACAAATTGAAGGTGCTCTGTTTACCAGGGCACCCCTTGGAATAACCAACAATGGCCCCAAACTGACAGAGAGCAGATTTAGGTTGGAGATCAGGAAGAACTTCTTTACAGTAAGGGTTGCCTTACTGTATGGAATGGGCTTCCAAGGGAGATGGTGCTCTCCCCTACCTAGGAGGTCTTTAAGAAGAGACTAGACAAGCATCTGGCTGGGGTCATATGACCCCAGTGCTCTTTCCTGCCCAGGGCAGGGGGTTGGACTTGATGATTTATTGAGATCCCTTCCAACCCTAACAACTATGAAATTATGAAACCAAGCTGGGGGGAGAAGTAGGGCAGGGCTAGGATTCAGAGAGATGTAGACAAATTGGAGGAATGGACCAAAGAAATTTCATGAAGTTTAATAGGCACAAGTGCAAAGTCCTACACTTAGGATGTAACAGACTCATGCGCTGGTACAGGCTAGGGACTGACTGGCTAAGCAGCAGCTCTGCAGAAAAGGACCTGTGGGTTAGGGTGGACAATTAACTGAATATGAGCCAACAGTGTGCCCTTGTTGCAAAGAAGGCTTAACAGTATAGTGGGCCTGCATTATGTAGGAATGTTGCCAGCAGATCAAGGGAAGTGATTCTTCCCCTCTTTTTGGCACTGGTGAGGCCACATCTGTAGTACAGTGCACAGTTTTGGTCCCCCCACCCCACAACAGAAAGGATGTAGATAAATTGGAGAGAGTCCACCAGAGAGCAACAGAAATTATTAGGGGCCTGGAGCACATGACTTCTAATGACAGGCTGAGGGAACTGGGCTTAGTTAGTCTTGGAGAAGAGAAGATGGAGAGAGGATTTAATAGCAGCCTTCAGGGAACCTCCCTTCAGGTAGCTGAAGGGGGGTCCAAAGAGGATGGAGCTAGACTATTCTCAGTGGTGGCAGATGACAGAACAAGGAGCAATGGTCTCAAGTTGCAGCAAGGGAAGTTTCGGTTAGATATTATGAAAAACGTTCTCACCAGTAAAGCACTGAAACAGGCCTACCCAGTGTGGAATCTTCATCCTTGGAGGTTTTTAAGTCCCGGATAGACAAAGCCTTGGCAGAGTGATCTAGTTGGAGACCATCCTGCTTTGAGCAGAGGTTTGGACTAGATGACCTCCTGAGCTCCTTTCCAACTCTAATTTGAACTATGAATACTGTTTAAGCATTCTTTATAAAAGTAGATTTTCACTTCTAAACTGTTTTTAAACTTCACAAAAACAACACATCCAGGGAGAGGGAGGCCGAGAATGGGAGAAATGGTGAATTTGTTGATCTCTCTAGGATATGGTTGTTGAAATTATGGTTTTCAAATAAAAAAGAAACAGCAACTTCAGATTCACAGTAGTTGAGTAATGACTTGTACAGAGTCTGTTTTTGGTTAAAACTTGTTGCCAAGTTGTCTGTATAAATACATGTCTTGAAGGCTGGATTAGAATTGTATTTGGGCACTTTCTACTGTCTTTCCAAAAATGAACAAAGAGTGTTGGAATCTAATCTCAGTAACAGCACACCCATACGAATCTGGAACCAGTCCACAATAAAAGTGATTGAAATCCAAGTTACCTTGGACTTACAGGCAGCTGAATGCAGAAATTTACTTCTAGCTACTGCAACAGAGACAGAATATCATATTCTTTGGGCAGTCTTGAGGATAAATAGCAGAAAAAGGATGAAGGTACAAGTGTTTTCTAAATTAGTATGTCTGATGATTTAGGCTGTGTTTACAGATTTTTAGCATGCAGTATTGTTCTAGTAAACATAATCATGGTCAAGGGAGTCAGGATTTAACCCATAAAATTTTGGTTTCAGGTTAGTTTCACAAATGCATGTTTTATTTTATACACTACTGAGTTGGTCATAACTTGCTTGAGCCACTGAAAACATTCTTTTAACTACTTAGGATCCATAAATTGCTTATTCTAATGGGCAATTTTAAAGAAAAGATTTACCCTTTTCATATGATGAACTCAAAATCATACGAAGTATTGTGAATTGCAGTAATTTTCCATGAAAAAGTTTGTATCATTAAGTAAATTTAGTTAAAATTGCTCATATTGAACTTCTGAATATCGATACTGGAAAACTTTCATTAGCCAACCTTTTCTACTTCTCCTGCAGCCACTGGTCAAGACAGCTTCTTGAGGAATAGTATTAAAAAATAAATAAATAAATAAAAAAGCACATGTCCCTGTATTTGTTTGTCTAAATTTGTGAAGGCCATGCATAATCATTCCTTATAAAAAATTAAATTGAGTGCAAATGCTAATTAACTGGTCAGTTTGTAAAGATGCCTGGATGTCATTATCTACTTTTTAAGACGTAGCATTTGAGTTCAGAACAGATGTCAGGCTTAAGATTTTATTCTCCTATTCTGCTAGAATAAGAAAAAAATCTAGTAACCACTGGTACATGATCTATCTATCTGAGAAAATCTTTCAAGTATGGTTTCATCATAAATACTTGTAATTTAACCTTGAAACATCTGAGTACTCTGCAAAATTATTAACCACTACATTTTCCCTGAAGGTATTTCTCTTCCTTCATAGATAGCCAACTCTGGAAGGTTTTTTTTTCCTCGGGTCTAGATTGCAAAACCCTTTACAAATGTGAGCAGTCACTTAAGTAGTCCTACTGAAGTCAGACTACAAGTAGAGTGCTGATAAATATGATATTTGTCATGCAATCGCCCCATTAAAAGTGCTCTACAGCCATCTCCTGACAGAAGTGGATGGCTGCAGAGCTCCTTAAAAGTGTCCAATAGTGCAACTAATTAACCCTCACTTAATGAGGGTTCAGACGAAGGCGCTGCAGTCTCCCCCCTTGCAGCACAGGCTGAGCAAACCCTAGAATGGAGCTCCATCCCATGCCTTCTCCCCCTCCCATCCTCATGACAGTGCTGGAGCTGGTGTGGGCAGGGGCTAGTGGGGAGAGGCTTCAGACACACAGCATCTCTCTGCTGGGTTGGTTTCAAGGTGGGACTTGACTTCCCAGACCAAACAGCAAACATCTGTTGGTTCGGGGGAAGGGAGGAGGGTCACTGTAACTCATGACACTTTCTGTGAAGCACCGTGAGTTACAGCAGGGAGCTATACATCTGTCAGCACCAATAGAGTTGGATGATGTTAAAACCCGTGTGAGAAGGTCCAAATTTGATCCTCAGGTTTTGGGGTTGTTTTAGGCCAACAGACAAAACTCCATCAATGGAGATTTACAAGTTTTAGGACTTTCAAGTTATGGAAATGAGAAAAGCATTTTCCCTTACTGAAGCTTTAGAAAAGTCATCCCCACCTGTGATCCTGCTCAAATCACATCTGAAAACTGTGCAATTCAGCCAGAAATAACTTACCCTGTTAGTAGCATAGACAATGTCAAACAGCCCAAGAAGAGTCACAGAGATTCCAAGAGCTGGACCATTCACCCCTGCAACCAGTGGCTTAGGAAAATCAATAAAATGGTTGACAAAATTCCTGCAGACAAAAGAGTACATTTGTTCTGGTATCATGAACTCTAAATGCTGACTCTCTTTAAAATACATACCAAAAGATCAGTTGACTGTGTATGCTAGCATTAATTAATTACTACTGGGATTTACAACAGAGTTCTTAGATTTGTCCTAACTTTGCTCTTGCTGAAGTAAACCTCTTAGTGATTTCAATGGGAACAAGGTTTTAGGCCTTACCAGAATGTTTTGAATCCCCCTCTGCTTCTGTCACATGAAACCTCAAGTGACTGACTCTTTCTTTCTAAATCAAATTTTTGGAGGTGTGCTTGTAAAAGATAGACTAAGAATTTCATAGCTATGGTCCAATATTCAGCTGGTAAATATATAAAAAAGGAGGTTTTATGCTGTTGGTAGAAATTTTAGCACAGATTTCCCTCCTCTCCCCCCCCCCCCCCCCCCCCCCCCCCATACTGCTGCTTTCCCTAATCACTACTTAGTCAAGCAAAGTTTCCATTGGTGCTTCTTATGGTGTAACAACTTGCTAAAACTAAAATGACATCCCAATCCAACATGTGTAAAGAAATGCACATTCTAATTAGGGCTGGATTTCCCCCCTGCCTTTGCACATTGCACTCAACTAGGTCTATCTGGAACTAATTGCACTCTTTAATCTAAGAAAATTCTTACGGGAATGAAATTTTTTGTGACAGTGTAATTAAATAATATTTAATTCTCACCTGTGTGGGGTATAGGTGATGGAAGGAGGGATGGGTCTTTTTTTTTTTAAGCTGAACCGAGTGTTTCGAAAATGTCTTTATACCAGCCCCTCACTTTTTCTTTCTGTGGTCTAATGAATTTTTATTTATTTATTCAAAGTAATGCAGCTCCAAAAACTGGAGGGAGTGAGAATTGCCTTAGAATACCCAGTATGTATGTGCTGATCAGGGTAACAAGCTGACCCTGGTTATTGGGTGGGCCTGGCTGCCAGTGTCCTAATTAATCCTCAGCTGGTCAGAGCTGCCTGTATGGATCTGGCTGCCTGCTTATAAGCAATAGCTCGTCCAGAGCTCAGGGGGTTATTGATCAGGACAGATGCCTCTGTCTAGCTTTGGGCTTCTGACTCCTTAGTTTCCTAGTACCTGATAATACTATATCTTTGATTCCTAGTTTCCCAGTCCCTGGGTCCTGCCTATTTGTTCCTAGGGTCCAAAGTCCTGCATGTTTGTTCCCAGATCTCTGTTCCCTGGGTCCTGCTTGCTGGGTTCCTGGTTTTATCCTTGTTCCTGCTCATTGGTTCCTGCCCACAGAGTCCTTGTTCTAGACCTCAACCTGGATCCCTGTGCTTCTAACCTGCCTTGCTGGCTCCTTGGCCCCTTGTGTTCCAGACTCTAGTCTAGATCCCTGTCCTCTGACAGCCAGCTCCTGGCTTAGCTTCCAGTCCTGTATAGCTATAGATACTTGTTCTAGACCCTCTGGCTAGTGACTCTGGTCTGGATCCCTGTCTCATGTTCGTGGCTACCCCATGGCTTGTGGTTCCCCACAGGGTGACTCTCTCCATTCCAGTCCCTTACAGACCTCACCCTCCTGACTTGCCTGCTCCTGAGCTCCTGCTCTAGCCAGGACCCTTGCTTCCCTAACATTGTCTGTTCCCAGAGAAGCTAATTTGCTCTTTCAAACAGGATGTTTATGGCAGAACAAAGAACTGAAGCCAAACCTCCCAAGTCCCATCTTCATCAGATTTCATAGACCTCTCAGATTGTGAGGTCTCTCTTACTGTAACTGAACTGAAACAGAAACCATCTTGAGAGATTTACGCTGTGGTTTAGCCCTGATCATGTCAAAATAATGATAAGCTTGCATCCTTACTGTCATGCAGTCAAGGGCCCTTGTAAGTAGAGCTTTGTTAGTTTGGGACCTTATGGCTGTATTCAAAGGCTAGTAAAGTCACTGGAAAGATTCTCACCAGGTCTTTCCACTGATTGTAATGGGATTTGGCTCTGTCCATTAAAAAATGAATGAGCTTTTAGTAAATGAGCACTCTTACTTTATCCACTCGCCATTGTTTTTTATTATCTGCTCCAAATTTTCTGTGAAATTGTTGAGGTCATTTCCACTAGAGTAGTAATCACCACTTCCTGCAAAAACAAAGGAACTTCACCAACATATGCAGAGATGCTGAGATGCCACAGCAACAGCTATTTAGATTGATAAACACAGATATTCAAATTGATAAACGAAGCTATGTGCGTTTGGAGATGGAGCTTTAAGTGAAAAGTTTATAAGACTTTGTCATATCAGTTTATATCGGGAAGACTTCTAAAGGGACCTACTTTGAAATGTAGCTGCTCAACAGTTCTTAAATATAGTGTGCTTACAGAGTACACCTCAGACTGATGTGGGCTATATGCTGTTTTAGTTCAAGATGTGTATTCATACATTTAGCAATTACTCTAGAGTGGAGTCACCAAGCTGATAGCCATCCCCATTTTGTCTATTTGTTAGGAGTTAAGTGAGAACAAAATTTGTAAGAAACATAACTGTGTGGTTGATTCCAAAGAGATATCAGTGAGAATAGTAGACTCTAAATGGTGCCATTTGGGGCTTGATTCCAAGCCCATTACAGTTAATAGGAGCATGTCTATTGACTAATGGACCATAGTCCTGCCCTTTTTGGGTGCTTCTACATGAGATGGTTACTATGGAGTAGGTTAATTAGCTCCACAGTAAATGTCTTGCATTTACACATCCAGAACTATTAGGCTGGAGTAAACTAAAACTCTGCAGCAGCGTAGTACTTATAAGTACAAGTACTGCCCCACTGCAGAGTTTGTTTGTTTTTTACTCCATCACAGCACACATGCAGATGCTAATGGGGCTGGCTGGAGCACAACAGTGCCTCAGTGCGGGGGCTGCCTGCCAGCTAGCCTTACACTGGAGTACTCTCATGCCCCAGCCAGACCCTCCTCAGTATGTTGAGCTGGGTCAGAGCAGCCCAGGGCTGGCAGGCTGACCCCCTGGGGCCCTTGCCAGCTGGGGCTGCTTCAACTCAGCTCTAGGTTTCAGGTGTACATGCAAACAGCATGCCCAGAAGCAATAAACTCTGGTGCAATAAGTACTGGAGTTTATTATTCCACATCATTTGCACATGTAGGCACACCCTATAAGTTGCACTTTATTGCAGAAACAATGAGTCAGACTCCAGTGTCACTGACATTGGAGTAAATCTTTGAGTCTGCATGGAATTATTTTGGATTTTACACTGCCATGAGATGAGAATTGGGCCCCAAATGACCATTTCCTTGAGGTGTTTCTTATAGTGCTAACCCTGATGAAATTCTCTGGCATTAATATAAGCAGTATTCCCAGGCTTTTGCTATAATGCAGAATTAAAGGATTGATTAGTCTCCTTTGAAAATGGCATCCACAACCATCTAAGGCAGTGTTTCCCAATTTTTTGGAGTATAATTCCATCATGAGCTAGTCCTAGTTGCAATTGGAGCCCATCTGGAGTAATAGAAAGTATATGGAACTCACAACCCCACTCAGAAAAGTCCTGAGCCCATTTAGGATTTATGACCCCTTAATTTGGGAAACACTATTCTAAAGACTGTAGGCTAGATGGCAGCAAAGATCTTATGCTATTTCCTACATATGCTGCAATAGAAAACCAGAGTCAGGTGGTGGAGAGTTTTGTAGCGGCCCATTTAAAAGCAGACAACAATCTTTCAGGTTTGTGTAGAACAGCTGACATATACCGAGTCCTTGGTCACAACTCTGTGCCCCAAATTCACAGCATGCAGCAGGTGTAAATCTGCCTTGGAGGGGACTTTTGCTGCAGGGGAGCCCAAGTTGTGAAAAATTGTGTATTTGTTTTGTTTGATTTTAGTCACAATGGCATAACAGTTGGTGCCCAGGGCAAATGCTGCTGGGGGGGATTTGTGTGTAATTTTGAGAGTGGAAGTTGGGGGAACCGTGGGTTCTGGAGGCTGCAGCTTCCAAGGGCAGGGAGTCTAGGACTGGAAGCAGGGGTAAGGGGCACACCAGTTTCAAGAGTGGGGGATAAGACCTGCAGGTTCAGGAGAGCCGCAGGTTCTGAGAAGAAGGGGTGGGAGGTCTGGGTTTCAAGAGTAAGGGTGGGGGGCAGCAGTGTTACCCATGCCAGGACTCTCTTACACAGTCCCAACTGACCTGCTGCTGCCACCACCACACACATTCTGCCTACCCCAGCTGAAGCTCTTAAAGCATCAGCACCTGGGGCCTATTTTGGACTTCTTGGCATGGATGTGTTGGCAGGGTGCAGATTCCATGGCGATGGGGGCAGTTCCAGCACCCGTCTTAGCTTGGTGTCTGGGAAGTTGCCCCTCTTGCCTACCCCTAAATATACTTCTGGCACATCAGAGTCTGGAGAGTTAATCACCCAGGGACTGTCTGCCTATTTAGTGCCTGGAGATGCCATTTATTTTGAAGCTCTAATGGAGCTGTTGCTGTGTGGGCAGCCTGGAAGGATGCTAAGGAGACAGAATCCCTTTTTGCATTTTTCCACTCTGCTGAGTTCTCATTCCTGCCACCCACATGTGTTGAGGGGATGATTTTGCCCCCATTATGAACACTCTGACTGAGGCACCCATCAAATGTGATACCTGTTACAACAGTTATAACAGAGTCGTCCTTGGCAGCTTCTTCAAGCGCTTGCATAATTTCTCTGTACATCTGTGTAAAAGGAGGATGGAAAAGAGATTACGTGATTCTGGCAAGCATTACAGAAAGGAAACTCCATAGCAAGAGCTGAGGAAAAGGACTTCCTTATTATAAAATGGAGACAAGTGTGATAATAGACCCTAGGGGCCATAGTTCCGTCTTACCTACGTTTGTCCTATGCTGACTTCATTTGAGCTGCTCATCAGTTATACTGGCAAAAATGAAGGTGCTTTTGAAATTCTCTCTCACCAAACTCAGTCTGCTTCAAAGGCCCAGGTCTTGAGAGTGTTCATTAGTATGCTGTATTTTTACTCATGTGACTTTTTGGTATTCAGATTGTAAAAATGGTTTGTGTAAACTCAAGGTTATATATTGTGTTGCCCAGATAATTCTAATGGATGGCATGCATGAAATTTGAGAGTAGAATTTGGGTCATACACCAACTAGTTTTCACAACTTGCATTACTCTACTTACCACAAGGGTGACAGCATTTTTTTTCATTGGACGATTTAGCATGATCTTTGTGATGTTGTCTTCAGTAGAAACTTGCAGTGTCTCATATTTGCATTTGCTACTGGCAGAAGCAACTTCTTCCTGAACAGGAAAGTTTGAAGACCCAAGTTACACACACGAACAGGATAAGTAGAAAGCTACTATCCTGTTGTAAAGAAAGCATGAATCAAATACAAAGTCCAACCATACAAAGCCAAATTCTTCCAGTTAGCCTCTAGTTTCATGTACAATGGTCTTCACACTTTCAAAGAAGCATTTAAAATATAAATGTATAACTGCTGGCACATGCAATTGCATGTTAGGTTGTAAGCTAAGTGAACAGGCACACAAATGGATAGGAATTCAACCTTTTAGCTGCTTCTGGTTTTGGATTCCCAACCTGTATCACTTAACTTTGGCATGACTTGCAGGAACTATAGAAAAAAACCCTGAAAATTGGGCCTATTAAAATTTTACAGGTTTACTACCTTAAAACAGAGACATCTGAAATCATTAGTCAGTTGGCTAGAACAAATTCAAACACAAATAAGGAACTGTGGGCAGGGGTGAAACAAATAAGCAAAAAACACTCCTGGACAAATTTAGCTGAACAGTTGAAAGCACATAATCACTGGTAGCATTTGCCTGATTTTTGCGCATGTATTGCTTGCTGAAGCACTTAGATCTTTTGAGAACTATTCAGACATTAGTACCTATGTTGTTTAAGGATAAATAAAGAGAAGCACTTAAAGTGAATTTAGTGTTAATGGGACGTGCCAAATGGATGAAACTGAAATCTCTTATGTATCAGTGGGACAGCAACAGTCATCCTTTATATCCATTTAATCCCTGGCTTCTCCGCTGGGATAGAGATGAGTGCTGACTGTATATGTGGGTTTTGAGATACAGGTACTAGGGCTGTGCAAAATTTCACTGGCTGTTTTGTTTTGACTCGTTTTGAGCTCAAAACAGCAACATTGAAACGAAACAGAGAGCTTCGAAACAGCCTCAGAATGAAACCAGGCAAGTCAAAATATTTTGAAATTTTCAAAATGTTTTGAGTTTTAAAGCTCAAGCTGGGCTTGCCTGCAGGGAGACAGAAACTAAAGTAAGGAGAGGGAAGAGGAAGAGGGGGCAAGACAGGGAAGGACTGCTCTCATTATTGACTGCGTATCTGGCCAGTGACTGTCATCCTTCCCTGAGATCCCTTCCAATCCCAGCGCTCTGGAGGAGGGATGGAAAAACTGCATAAAAGGCAGCATTGTTTGAACTGCCCTGCTTTCTGCCTTGGTGTCAGCTGAGTGAGGGTGCGCCTTATAACACACAAAGTGTCACTCACTGATGTCACAGGTTTTGCCTGTCAACAGCTAGGGGTGCAGGGCCCCAGAACCCAGACTCCCCCTGTACCCATCTCCTTGACAGCTGGCAGGCTTCGTGGCTGCAGCAGGGGCTAGCAGGCCTGCAGTTTTCACCCCGCTGTGCCCCAAGACACACACAGTCCCACACGCACCCATGTCATGAGTTTTGCCTGTCACCAGCCAAAGGTACAGGGCCCCAGAACCCAGAAGCCCTGCACCTATCTCCTTGAAAGCTGGCAGGCATCATGGCCTTAGCAGGGACTAGCAAGCCTGCAGTTTTCACCCTGCTGTGGCTTAACACATACACATGACATGAATTTTTTGCTTTCAAGACCTTGAGGTGCAGTTTCCCTGAAACCCCTGCACCGCTCTCCTTGACACTTGGCAGACTTCATGCCCTCAGAAGGAGCTACCATTCCTGTAAGTTTCATCCAAATCAGGCCAGAAATGACAAAGTTATAGGCTGTTTTGAACTTCCCCATTATAGCCTTGGGTGAAACATCCTAACAGCGAAACTGTTTCAATGAAACGGAACAGCAGTTTTGTATCAAAATGAAATTCAAAACGAAATGCTGTTCCATCAAAACAGAACAGTGCTGTTTTTCCCAGCCTTAACAGGAACCTTCCCAGTAAAGAATAGTTTGGCGTGGACTCATCCACTGAACTGCTAAATCAGTGGTTCTTCACCCTTTTTAGACTCAAGCACCCCACTTCTTAGGTTTCATTCATTTTTTGACTACAGAAAAATAATAAAAATAATAGTCCATTATTAATTCTTAGTTGAAATATCTGGGTTTGTTGTGAATCATGTTTGCACTCCTAAGCGTACTAACATTGTTTGGCAACCCATGGCATCCTTGAAAGGATCTCAAGGCACTCCAGAGTGCCACAGTACCCTGGTTGAGAATCGCTATGTTTGACAGTCATGGTATTATGTCCAGAGCTGGTTCCAGCAAGCAATTCCCCTTTACCAGTTCCACAAGTCATACAGCTCCCAAGCATAGCTACCCACTCCCTCTCTCCTTTGAGAGCCTATGTTCATTTGGACACAGTTAATGAAGACAAAGGCTGAAGAACTCCTGCTGCACTATGAATCATGCAGACAAAAATGCAGAAAATGAAGTGAGAGCCAGATTGTGACTTGGAAGCAAGAACTAGAGCAAGAATTTTTTCATGCAAGAGTCATTGTTAGTTTTGTCTTGTATTTAGCTCAGTGCCTGGACTCCCTTTCTTGTCTGTAGGAAGGCCTGAGTCCGATCTCTGGTATCTGTCAACCATATCAGAAAGCAGTGAGAAGTGGCAAATGACAGATTTTTCTACAAGTCTAGTACTTTTTCACTTTTTTAAAACAGAAATTTTTCTTGCCAGATGATTTCTTTAAATAAAAAATAAACCTTAGCAAAGGAATTTCTCCCCCAATGCTTATGTTAACAGATTATGTGGTGGCTTCTCAGAATACTGGTTAAAATCCTAAGGAAAGGGGGAGAAGAAAAAGCGATAAACTTTGCATATTTGTAGATTGCATATAGGCTACATACTGTAATGAGAATAGACCGTTTTAAGAAAAAATTGGTTAGATTACTTGAGCCAGGGTAAGTAGCTAAAAAACCTGCTGTATTGGCTTTTATAACACAAAGCAAGTTCAAATCTAGAAAAGGTATCAGTTTCAAAATAGCTGCCATTAATGAGCTGACAGGAACATAGTGATAGTGAAGTAACATGGCTGACAATGTCATCTAGTTTATTCAAGCAGAAGAGCTCTTGAAAAAAAATGTGTAAACTTTGTATGACTTGTTTTTATGATCCTTATGTTTAAGATTTAGGATTTTCAAAAATTCTGAAGTGAACTCCTGCTAAATCCAAGGTAACTTCGCCTGAAATCCTGGCACATCTCCCTGGGGATCAACAGTCTTAAAAACTGTGGCAGCCTGGGTCTCTAGGTCTGCCTTTGAGACACTGAAAGATAGTCTTGACAAGAATGCCAATTTTACTGAGTTCTAGGTTTGGGAAATTCTAATTTGGTGGAAACTTCAAACAGCATTTGCAGTCTGATTTTTGACTGAAGCCAAATTTTTAAAAAATGCAAGCAGGAAAGGCTAGTTTTTATCAGCCCAATTTATAGGTATTTAGGTGCCTACGTCCCATTATAATTAAGCACTTATTGTATTTTTTCACATATCGCACGCCCCCAAAAAAGACATGCACCTTGTTTTTGGAAGGTAGAACATTAAAAAAAGTCCAGTTGTGGATGAGAATGGACTGCATGCAGCAGCTTACTTGCCCTCAGTCAACTCATTGGCAGTTTCAGGCAAAACCTATATGCTAACTCTTTCAAAGAAGGTGCTGAGTTAGCAACATCTCTTAGCTGCTCAGGTAAATGCTATTGCCAATCCAGCAGCGGCTACAAAGGGGTTAATACTGGACTCTTCCCCTGTTACTTGCTGGCCTCAGAAGACGGAGTGGTCATTACAGCATCTCCATATTTCTATTCCTCCATGCTTCCGTACTGGCAAAGAAAATCAGCTTCCCTGCTTAAGACACATCTTCCCAATTTTGTAGAGCTGGTTTTTCATGGAAAAGGTGCATGCATGCAATATACTTGTTAAAGAAGTTTATTAAATCGGAGCTTTAATGCTGGGATACTCATAGAATCATAGAAGTAGGGTCGGAAGGGACCTTGTAGATCTTCAGGTCCGACCCCCTGCCTGGGCAGGAAGAAAACTGGGCTCAAACGACCCCAGCCAGGTAGGCATCATGCCGCTTCTTAAAGACCCCCAGGGTAGGAGCCAGCACCACTTCCCTTGGAGGGAAGCCTTCCCTTCTAGCCGCCCTGACTGTGAAGTAGTCCTTATGGATGTCTAATCTAAACCTACTCTCCAACAACTTGTGGCCGTTATTCCTTGTTATCCCGGGGGGCACTAGGGGAAACAAGGTCTCCCCCAAACCCTTCTGGTCCCCCCTAGTGAGTTTGTAGAAAGTCACCAGGTCCCCACTCAGCCTTCTCTTGTGAAGGCTGAACAGGTTCAGGTCCCGTAACCTCTTGTTGTAGGGTCTGCCCTGCTGTCCCCGGATCATGCGGGTGGCCCTCCTCTGGACCCTCTCAATGTTGTCCACATTCCTCTTGAAGTGGGGTGCCCAGAACTGGACACAGTACTCCAGCTGCGGCCTGACCAGTGTCGCGTAGAGGGGGAGTATCACCTCCTTGGACCTACTTGAGATGCACCTGTGGATGCACGATAAGGTCCGGTTAGCCCTACTCTATGTCCATCTACCTCTCTTGCCTATCAGAATTGAGCCTGAACTAGAACTTCACATTCAAATCTGGTAAACTTTGGAGGGCTTTAGATTTAAATGCCAATTCAGGTTTCATTACAAAGGCCCATCTCTATTGATGACCACGTCAGAAAACCAAACCCAAACACTGTCCACATCTTGAGGAGGATTTTTTTTTATCTAAGCTTTGTTCTTTAAGAACAGCTATAAGGAAGGTACTATTAAAAGTGATATTTGCCTTCTGCAAGGTTCAGGAAAAGAGAGATTAGTTTTAACCTACTTCAGACAAGCCTTTACGATGTCCAGAGTAGGATTATTTATGCTGCTAAAAGAGTTTGGGAGTTTGGTCCATTGAAGTTATATTACCACAAGGATGAAATCCAGATAACTTCTGTGGGAGTGTTAAAGTGTATGAACCAGTGTGACTGCTAATTTTCCTTCACCTAAAGCACTCTCCTTTCAATTGCTGAT